GCGGCGATGGCGCCCCGCGCCACCAGGCCGGCCTGGCTCGCAGCGGAATCTCAGCTCTGCTCGCTGCTCTCCCGTTTTTCCGGGCCTCGATGGAGCGCTCCAGCAGATCCCTCACCTCACAGATGGGGACGTCTTTGCGCCCCGTGCTCACCCAAAACGGAGCCGACTTAGAACTGTTGAAGTCCGCAGGCCGCGTCGGGGTTCGACTCTAGACGTGCTTGTTGGCAAGAATGGACGCCCACGATAACGTTTCTACAGCAAGGCAGCGGCGCTTCTTCCATCCCTGCAAGCTGCAATGCCTGAGCTTGCAGCTCTTTGTTCACGGCGCGGAGCCCCTCATCGGGCTTTTTGATGTAGAGGTTCGCGAAGTAGCGAACCACCTCCAGGCACAGCGCATGCCCAAGCCGCTAAGAGATTGAACCCCCTGAGTCCCGAAGTCTTAGGGAAAGGCCAGTCTGACCCTTCCTGATGCACAGGGTTTAGGGCATAGAGGAGCGCAACGGAGCATGTAGCCGGAGGATGGTAGGCATGAACATCCGCATGTGGAGTGTGACTGCCATGAGCTAGGGCAATGTGCATCAAGATGTGCGCCCGCTCTATATAAATCTTATCATAAGTCTTATATCGCTATGCAACTTCAAAACCTCGCAAAAAATTCTGCATTTCGGACCTGATATGTCAGCCTGTCCCCGCCCGCCATGAACTACGCCAACTGCACCCAGCCCGTGAAAGGTACAAACCTAGATTCGACTCCGCCAGGCCTACGAACCCCTACGAATGCCTGTGTCTCCAGAGTGAGGGCAAATTACGAATTATCCCCCTACCAACTTGGACATGAGCCCTCATGAGTCAATGCCATCATGCCTTCAGGGTTCGGTACCAGATCCAGAGCCTGACGTCAGCAGAGCGGTGTTCAATTGACATGCTGTGGCAGCATGGGTTTCGGGATGCAGCACGCTGATGTTGTATGGCAGCAATGCACCATGCTATGTGACGTTGACCTAACCTGGCAGAATGGGGCAAAAATGAACTTGCGTCAAGTAAAGAGTTTGGCAGCACCAACGCGCCGGTTTTGCTTCCACTTTGTCTCAAACTTCGTCAGCAGTCAGCGCTACTGAATACATGCTTGGCAGTGCAACAACCCAGGTGTCTGAAACCGTTAAAAATACATCTCCACATGCTTGATTGGACAAGCGTGGTATCCATGCCCATCCTTCTCAGCTCTGCTTTCTGGGCTCCATTGAGTGACACGCGGTCACGAATCTTCTGCATAGATGGCGGCAGCCATTTCCTCGCTTCATTGACCTGCGGGTCCCTTTTAAAGACTTCGCAAGCTGCTTCCTCGGCAGTGCCTCGGCTGTCTTTGCAACAGCCACTGAAGCTTCGCTCATTGAATGGCGTGAGCAAAGTGGCCCGGCAGCCATAGTTTTCCAAAGAATGCTCGAATCGGAGTGCCTCGCCAGAATTTGTATATCGTCCCATGAAGGAAATGACGGCGTTGCGCGGTTGCATACGTTCGAATGCAAAGCTTGCTATATTCAAGGGGAGTACATGCGCCTTACAAGCCTTACAACTTCATGATTTCATTGTGTCAAGGAGAAGGGCAAGCAGGGATGAAAGCTTGTGAACGACAGCGACCGCGACGGAGCCGACGGGCAAGACCAACGCTTTGCAGCTGTTGGCCCCGCACTGCCGATCCAAGGCCCCCTTTGCAGGCAGGCCTTTTCATGGCCGGCTCGGTTGCAGAAGCCGCCGAACACATGAACACACTACACATCGCTACGCAAAACCACACGGGGGCAGGGGCCTAAACCAGAGAAGATCCATGTCCGCAACACCACAAAACAAATCTTCTGCGAGAAGAAGCCGATACCCTCTCCCATGCTATGCAGGATGAAACCCAGATCTAGACTTGCAGATGGGAAGCACCTGCATTCTTCCAAGAACTGCAGATGACGATCTTGCCTCGGTCTGAACCGAAGTCTGATACAAGCACATCACCTCACCTGCCACATCCCGTTCTGGGAAGATTCAGCCGGGGAACGAGCGCATTGGTAATTCCTGCGCCCCTGCACGAGCAAGGGTCCGACCTAATACCATCAGCAAAGCGCGAGATAGTGTCAAAACTTGCACCTGATCCGCAGAACACATGAAACTCTACTGATAGTGCGATGGCATACAATCCTGCATGCTGCATCTGCTTGCAGTTGCCCCATCCGAGACATATCGGCAAAGCATTCTTAAAGAGATGTAATGTGGAACTCGGGTTCGTGACGGGCCCTTCATGACAAGTAGGCCACAGTCTGGGTCGCATGCCGAAATTGTGCGATGGCCAAAATCCGCAGAGTTGACTGCCTGCCTCCACACATCGCATCTCTGCTCACTAGGCGCTACTCAGATTGCGACGCCACTTATGTGGCATCAGTAGATATCAATCCAGGGCCTGCCCCTTCTGCCTGCCCACTCCAATATGCTACTAAAGACACTTATACGAATACGATCAAAGCCAGAGGTGAGCCGCCTGCGCTTGCTGAAGCATTGGGACGTCGTACCTGCTGGTTAAGGCACCCAGGCGAGCATAGTGAGTGCGTGAACATGTGAGCGCGCGAGTGTTCATGATTGAGTTGTGCGCGAGTCAGCACGCGAATGTTAAGGATTGGGGAGTGCGACCGGGGTGGGACGGTGTTGATGGCGAGTGGTGATGAGTTGCATAGCCCGACTGGGCAGGCCAGCCGGAAGATTTGAGGCTTCAGGTTCAAGGGCTTGGATGTTTACTCACAAGTTGAAACGAGGCTTTGGGTTTCGGAGTTTGAATTTCGAGTTTCGAGCCCTCCTTATACTCTCGGAACCCGTAGCATCACGGGGGCCCTCCGTCTCTCCCTAAACTTCGCTCCCTCCGTTTCTTCCGTTTTGTGCCAGCTTTCTGAGCATGGGGGGGATGGCGGAGTAGGAGCCGAAGGAGGTGGGGGGGG